GTCTCGTGAATAGACACCACTTTCATTATTATTCTGATACGAATCCGCGCTCATACATAAATAATTCTAAAGTATTGGACACATGAAAATAATATTAGATTTTCGTAAAATTCGAATTATTTAAAAACCTTTAGACTTAGACCTTATAAATCTTATTAAAGCAAACACTTATTTTACTCAGAGAATCCAAAAATGCAATAATATATAGGGTATTTCATTTCGAAAAACACAACTTTGATACTTTTAGGGCTTTTGGGACACTCTGTACATTACAAAAATACTTTTAAAATGTGCATCCGATAGGCGTCTGTGGATTCATCCAATAATACTTTGCAAAAAACAAACGGGTTAGCCGCAAACGTCCGTACCGTATAGCGTGAATAGCCCTGTATATGTAAAGAAATCAATCAGCCAGGGCAGTTGGTCGACGGCCTTCCGAACGTAACGCGCCTGCAGAGCGCGCTTCGCATACCCGTCCTTGTCGCGCCCCTAATTTATTGAAGCAGACAAAGAAAGGGACATGTTGACTGAGCAGTTCGGTCGCTCTTTGTCAAACGCAACTAGCACTATGCCCTTCTTTGTCTGCATCGTGCCACTCAGGCAGCACAAGGTTGGGAAGGGAACTGACAAACCCCTCTAGTACTTAACCCGAAGTACACGTTCTACGAGGTTGGAGAAATTTTTAGTTGTGATTTGCAGGCAAAGGAGCACAAGCTTCAATTGGCGTTCAGCAAACAGCCCTATTTGAGCGAAGTGACGAATCCGTATCCTTTGCCGGACAAGTCGCCATCCTACAAGGAGTACCTGAATAATAAGAACAATCGGTTTATGAACCCCGCCATGGCAAGCAAGAACAGGATTCAGCCGCCCAGCAAGGTGAGACGGCGGCCAATTGAATTGGTGATCACGCCAATTGTATTTTGTCGTCCAGATTTTGCACTTTTTCAACACACCGCCCCAAGTGACGGAGGCGGAGCTGATCCAGGTGTTCAAGGATTACGACGTGGTTCCTCCCAAAGCTGTGAAACTGTTCCCGATGAAGTCGGAACGAAGCAGCTCGGGATTGCTCGAGTTTGAGACCACCACTGAAGCAGTGGCGGCTGTGATGGCTTGCAACCATGCGGCCATTGAGAGTCCTGGTAAGGTTCCTAATCCCTAAAAGCCTTTCGTGCTGATGGGGTTGTTGAGTTTATGGCCTAATTCCAAATTAAAATCAAGTCCTGCGTTCTTCAGTCATTTATTGTCTATTTATCAATTAAAAAAACGTTTCGGTGTTTTCCACCATCATCAGTTTCACTAAACTAACAGGTTTGTTCCTTACTGTGTCCGTTCAGGTACCAAGTTTCCTTTCATCATGAAACTATGCTTCTCCTCGTCGCGAAGCATGACGATCCGCAATGGGGACAATGCGAACGGTGCGGCGCCCAACAAGGAGGATTCGAGGGGCGCGAATTGAGGCCCCTGGAGCCTCGCGCCAGCCCTGTTCATACGTGTAAATCTGTTCTGTTGTTATTAGTTTGTAATAACTTTGATCACATATCCTTTTTCCATGTGTAATGTTACAGGAAATTATTTTTGTTATCTTTGTGGTTGGTTCGTACAGGGTGGGCGCGGCGTTTGATGGCCGTCTGCTTCCCCTGTACTGGGTGTTACAAAAAAAACAAAAACCGTTTTGCCAAAGTGCTCAAGACACATTTAACCGCGTGCAATAAGAAATCTCGTTTTCGTACTAGTTTTGTTACACCCGTTTGCGTTATGACTGGCGAGTGTGAGTTATCGGTTGTACTTATTTATATGCATGTTTTAGTACAAAGCTCTCTGTAACTTTTCGAGTCCTCCCGATGGACCGAACATGGTCATCTGCAACGTGGACCAAGAAAGCAACTTCCGAACCGTTTATTTTTCGATTGGCTGAAAAGTCGAAACGCTGGAAAACTTACAGGGAGAGTGAAAGTTGCAGATTTTTGATTTTCGATCAGTTTAGATAGGGCACCATTCGAATAGCGTTGCCAAAAGAAAACCAAGAACCTGGTGTTGCCGCTTTTAAATTCTAATTTCCTAAAGGAACGATTAATTTAGGACACTAGGTTAAATCATAGCGATTTTATATCAAATTTAAAACTAAATACTTAGCTACATATCGTAATTTTTAACAAATTAGCGCAAAAATTTACTTATTGCAACGAGATTTTTCCAGTGTTATGATCATGTCTGCCGCCTAAGTAGTGTGATAGCGCGCTATGGTAGGGATATATTTTTCGTTTATGACGAAGTTACTTATTTAGTTGGGGATTTGGAATTTTATTGCTAGTGATGGTAAGAGTCCACTCTTGATCTCAATTGCCAATTCTGCTTATGGCAACCATGTGGGCAATAAGGTTCTAAGAAGGGTGGGGTTTTTAATGGATGTTCCCTAACAGAGGACCCTGATCCATTAAAGATCGCACCCCAACCCCGAAATTGTTACTATTTTAGTTCTCCTCCTCCATTATTCCTATTATGGTTAGTATTTGATTTTTCATTGTGATTGATTTTCAACGAATAAATTGTGTTAAACGTTAGTTGCGATTGCACTGTTCGCCATATTTTCTAAGATAAACTGAAGTCAATATTTATATCAACTAATTCAAAACTTTTTAGCAAATAAAATGACACTGACATATTTTTAGGGACATATCAGAGGATATTTTTTAAATCGATTTTTCGGGGGCTGTAACTCTAATGTTATACACAGTGTCTCGAATGCGCTGAACAGAACACTGCTGATTTGATCACATTCTGACCAATTAACTGACTGTGTCGGTCTAGTAGGCGAAGAGTCAATGAGTGGAACAAGGCCAGCAATCAACCACCTCTCCTTGGCAATGGGTGTTTCTTCCTTTTTCAATGCAGGTATTTGTCCTGCTGCCTTGTCCCACTCGATCATTCTTCGACAGCGATCTGAATAGTAAACTGAAATTAATTATTGCGGACTTTGAAAATTCAAGCAGTTTTACGGTTGACGAAGACGAGGCTTAAGCAAAGGCAATGTGCGCCCTTTAGAGCGTCTGTCCGTTATATTTGTGTTCCTAAGCCCGTATCTTAACGCGTTGAAGATGCTTTTCACGTGTTTTTACTAGGAAATGGGACGGACTATTCAAAGCTTAAGTGATATATATTCGGCTTAAATAGGGAATGGCCTAATGCTATAAACTGATTTTTCTTCTAGGGCTCAACGTGGTGCTTTAGTAGTTAATTGAAAACTACAGGGTGCGTCAGTTTTTTTTGCATCCGATAGAGACATTAATTTGTTTTTACAGTCTTTTTACCACAGCTTCTAAAGTTTTAGTGAAAATTGTCAAGTTTTAATTTAATCGCAAAAGTCCCAAACGCTTGTAAATTCGTTTCAGTCGAAAAATATCACCCATTCAGATCGTTTACAGTATATCAGAAGATGTGCACTTTCTTAAGCAGCCTGAGGGCAAAAACTTGAATAAATTGCCTCCGAAACTGTACAAGCTGTTGTAAAAAGACGATAAAAGCTCCGAAACTTATCAATCTCAATTAGGAATCCATCAGAGATGTTCAAATGCTTCTATAAACTGACTCACTCTGTATATAGTTTGTCCTGTTTCAAGACAAACTAAGCGCCACTTTCACTTAGCGATTTGCCCTAAACAGTCGGCCTTATTGATGTAGAATGAGCAAACAGCCTGGAAAAAATCCTAGCGTCCTCTAGAGTGCGACCTAACTGAGCTTTCAGGATTACATAGAAAAGAGCATATCGAATTTTTGTTTCGGAAAACCTCCGAAAACGCCCCGTATAAAAGACAAATAGTAAATGTAACTGTAGTATTAAAGAAATTATCTAATAGTTTTAGTTATTTATTGTTGATTGGTGGGCCGTTGATCATGACGATGTGAGCGAAACGAGCAACGCCTCGTCAATTCTCTAGTTGTAGTCACTGTTTTAGACACTGTAAACCTATTTGTGGTGAGTATTAGGCGATTCTTCTGATATTTAGTTGATACATTTGACTAGAACATATCAGGACGGCATGTATCAAGTAGGTACCTGAGCCATATCATTGTAATTGTTATGAAAACGAACAAAAACCCAAGAATATCATCCAAATATCAGGGCGAATTCAGCAGCAGATTCCTGTGTGTTGTTAATTTCGTAGTGTTTTCTCTATGAAACTAAAATTTGCATCCTGCAATATGTGTCGTATAATAATAATAATGATAAAATATATTTAAAAAATTAGTTTTGAGTCAATTACTTGTGCCTCTAGCAAATCGTGGTAGCCTCACTCTGTCTATCACACTCTCGAAACGATCCACCAACTTGTTTCTCTCTGTGATATTGTTTGTTTTTTTCGTTGTAAATTTTAAGACTGTTGTGTTTTGCGATATTTTACTGTGCCAAAATGTTCGTTACTTTCCACTGTCCCAAATGTTGTATATGTTGTAAATACGATCCCAACCGGATGTATTCCATCCGGCATAGAATAGTGAATTGCACAGAGGGAGACAATTCGATTCACACAGAAAACCCACCCAAATCTTACACGTTCAAAAATACATATACATATACAAGATATTCGATACAGGGGGGGTCGATTGGTCTAGAAACACCCTCCAAACCTACATAAAATGGCAAAATAACTGAAGCCGGTCAAACAGTGAGCCAGTTTCGCGCTTGATGTCCATCAGCTGATCAAACCGTTCACTGTTTGATCAGCCAATCAATCTATCAACCAACAAACACAAAAGAAACTAAATTTAAGATAAATGTTATTGATGTATTTTCGGAGCTGTGTATAAAAATTACTAAGAGTATTATATATAAAGTAATAAATATAAACGCGTTCTACAAATAAATGCCAAATATTCGCGGCCCGGATCGGCGCCTTGTCCACCGTTTCCCAATTTATCAGCATTTTTATTTATTTATTGGGTTTCTTTACGTTTGAGAAGCGGTTGGTCAGTGGCACTCGTCCAGAGCATGTATTCTTTTATTTATTTATTTTTTCGAATGTGTAAATATACGTAAACGTGGCTAAAAGTAAACCATTAAAAATGAATGTGTGTTTTTGAACTGTAAGGGCCCTTTTTCCCCAATCCCCATTCCACAGTGCTCGACATTTTCAGGTCGTATCGGGTCGATGCGCAGGCAACACAAACGACAAACAGTTAAAGTTTTTATTAAAAATAACAAAACCGTGTATAGATACCAATAATCCCCATCTCTATCTACTCTAGCTAGTATATTTAATGCAGAGATAGTCCAAACAGTGCATGCAGGTGGTCGATTTAACCCAGTAAAGGTGTTGATTTAAGGGGCTGCATACATCTATCTCTGTTTCCATTAAAAATACTTCCCAACTTAAAATGGTTCATTAGTAGTTCAAGCACCAATGGTATAAAACTGTTTTAGAATTGGACGCTTTTTAGTAATCAAAATAATCCCCTTAGTTGCTATGTTAAAACAATTAAAATATGCAGGATGAAAGCAACAGTTCAAGTTTTGCTTAGAAGCCCGAAATCCGCGATTTTCGGCTTTTAGGTCGTCGACGTTTTGCTAGCATCATTGGTGAGCATCTTCAGAGGCTGCTGTACCTCAGTGGGGCAGCAGCAGGATCAAATTCCTATTCCACTACGGCCCAAAAACCCCGAAAATCTGCAATTTTGAACTGAACCGATATTAAAACTGACGCGTTAGAGTACAAAACTGCTCGTAAAAAAATACAATTCTTCTAACTCAACTACATGGGAAAAAATGCAAAACATCCAACATAATGCGTACGTATTCCAACACCGTTAGTAAATATTCAAAAAAGATAAACAAACAATGTTTAAAAACTAGCGATAAACGCAAGCAGTTCAAGATTTACCCTTTAGGCACTTTATTTTTCGCAAAAAAACAGAACAAAAATTCGGGTGGTTTGTTCAGTCTGAACAAGCAACTGCAAATAACATCAACAATGTATAAAGATTCTTCCATAATTACCAAACAAAGAAAACTGTTTTAAAAACTCCCATTAGAAAAATCGATATTTACAGAGAATGTACATTTACTATTGTCTAATTTCTACTCTCCATTTTGATGTAGAAAAAATATAGGATATGCTAAGAAAATGGTAATAGATTCGATCAATTGCTTTTTGGGTAGAAAAATTCTATTCGACCAGCGAAGATTGTGCGATGATTGGTTGCAAGATCGTTGTGCCGCTTTTTGCCTCAGTTTGGCGTAAAAATTCTAATGGAAAATTGCCTCATCAAAGAACTCTTTCGCCTGCATAGCAGCTGCGTATCATTTAGGGTCGGTGTCGTTCCACGTCCCGTTTCTGATGTCCAGCCAGTGGTTGCGGTTTTCCAGCCGCATCCTCCAACATTTGCAAATGCTTGAATTTTTTGTGTTTTCCTATTAATATATATTATTAAGTGTCCATTTTTTTCCTGGACTTTTAACGCTGTATTTACTTGCAATTTTCACCATGATAACGCCCCACCAAATGGACCAGCCCCATCCAACCAAGCAAAACAGCACGGTGAAAAACTGGCTGAATCCGATGATTAGATCGATGATAAAAGCGCCGATTCGCGGCTTTGGGCCGTCTTTTTGCGAAAATCTGGGCTTGCCGATGCACAAGCAGAACATTCCGCTTAGAATAGTGCCTGAAAGCAGTTAATCCCGTTGAATCTGCACATTTGAAGCGCAAAAATGGCATCAAATTACTAGGAAAACCCACCTGTACCCGGCCCTATGCAGTTCATGATGCAGCAGAACCATGCGAGCCAAACGGGCAGCACCGGAATGGCCCCTTTCATATGCGAAGTGTGCTCGACCAGGCTGGCATCGATTTTCGGCTTGATTTCCTGCAGAAGGAAAAACTGGCAAGTGAGATTCCCTAGAAAAAACTTCCGGCTTCTTCAATACCTCGGGAGGAGGCACACTGGTAGGCGTTAAACTCTTCTTCTTGCCGCTGATCATCGACTCCTTCCTGGCACCCGCAGGCTGCGGTTCTTCATTTTTCTTGCAACAGCCGGAGCAGAAAATTTTGCGGAAAAAACTTCCACAACCTTCTTTCGAGCAGCACTTGCTCCTGGAAGAATTTATGAAAAATCGCAAAATTTGCATACAACACAAGTCTTCAGTTGCATTGCGCTAATTTTTTGAAGCCGCCCGACTGGTTTTGCTGACCAATGGGAATCGCGAAAAAATTGACTCCGCCCAAAAGGCGTGGCTAGTTTTGTATATGCCCATGTTGCTAAGCAATAAGGGCGCTTTAGTGCAGTAAAATAGTAGTTTTCGATACAAACGCGAAAAACAAATTTTCGCCCTCGTATCGAACACTATTTTTTATTCGAATGAAAGATTGCACGAATAATAAAATGCATCGATTTCATATTTAAAAT